AAAAAAAAAAAAAACAGGCCAAGGCATCCCATTATAGCCGGAGATGTTACAATATGAGTCATGAAGTGAACTTACCAGGCTGGTTTATAATTAAAACTCTAGATTTTGAACTTTAATGAAACAAAATTGCATCAATTTGTTACATTGAAAAACTTTTAAAAACTAGGAAGAAAAGGACTTTTTCAACCGTTGGGGCCAAAATATGTCTTTCGTTGAGCATTTTGCAGTTAATCTAGAACCCCCCAAAATTTTTTTTTTTGGAAATCAGAAAAAAAATGGACAGGGCAATCCGAGAAACAACAAATTAAATTGGTGTGGCCTTAGTAACTTTTACGGGGTCGAACCATCCTCGGCCTCAGGCCGAATCGTCCTGCACTTGGGGCCAAAACGTTGGGGCCGAGCTGTCCAGGGGCCAAAGTGTCCTGATACCTTTTATTAGACTTCTGAAATGATCCACTGTAATGATTGTTGCTTGTACAGGTGTGAACGTGAGGTGTGTGAACCTGGTGGGACTGACAGCATTTGATCAGATCCAGGACTTTGATGAGTGGCTGGAATGTAGCTTCTTCAGTGATGAGATAAAAGCCAGGATGAAAGGTAACATTTTTATCTCTGCTGGTGGTCTTAGTGAATAATAATAATAAATGGTTTATTGGTCAAACATTACCCGTACAATCACAGCCTTTTATAGTGCTGAATTTATGCAGGGTTTACAATCGGTTTCCAATCATATAAGAATCAATAATCACTATAATTTAATTATAATATTTATCTATTATAGCAGTAAGGGAAGACAGTCACTGATTTAATCTTATGGATGACATCCACACATGCATTGATTTTTGCCTGTTCTAAAAAAAACTGAAGCTGAAGCCCCATAGTCCATGGTAGCTAATGACAATAGGGAGCCAGCAGTAACTACAGAGGATGGCATCCAGGCTACCAAGGCTCCACAGAACTCTAGAACAGCATGTCCCAGCTTGTTGTAAATTGTCATGTTCGACCGCAAATTCACAATAACAGCTTTGTATTCCTGTGGTTTAGCAGCATTTTTTTTGGCTAGGGATTTTTTATTTGCCTGCACGCATTAGTCTTCGGAGGATGTCATCCATACAATTAAGTCAGTGTGGCCTTATGGATTAGCTACAATGTGATATTTGCTAGCAAATATATTGTCACATTGGTAAACATGTTGTACTTTTCTCCACACTCACCACGATGACATGACAAATGGATTATGTTCGCCTCAACAAAGTTTTTCCCAACATTCATATCATCTGAACAGATGTGTCAATAAATTTCTAGTCTCTACTACATGTAGTCTAGCAGACCAAATTCTGTTCAGGTATAGCAGGCTGGAATGGTTACATGATAAGATGGTAATAATAGTTTGATATACTTGTATAGTCAGTTACTTAGTATTGATACAGAATCACGTTTATGCTTAATGTTATGTGTATACTTAATAGTATTGTTTTCCTTTCTTTTGTTATACCAGCCTTTAGTCTGAAGCATGCCCGAGACCTTGTCCGTGCTATCACCAAGAAAGTGAAGACTGCTGCCCCCCTTTCATCTGCCAGACTACCAGGTCTGAACACTAGTGCACACTGGGAAAAGTCCCGAGTGGAGGCTGCGACGCCAACGTCGAGCCATCGTATTCAGACAGCCCCGCCCCTCAGCAGAGCTCCTGGTACAGGACGCTCCATCAGCACACAGATGTTTCAGAGACGGGTAAATAGCTGTAAATGCCTGTAATTGTACAAACATATTTCTCAGTGTATAATGCAGTTTCAGTATGCTTTAACATGCTGTGCTATTTATTTATTTATCTTGAATACACATGGGTTGTCCCTTTAGCCCCTTGGGGCTGATTTCCAATGGATTTCCAATACTAAAAATAATGAAAAATAAAATAATATTAATCAAATGTAACAGTGAAATCATAAATCAAAATACAAGATCAGTCAGAGGTGAGATGTCAGAGGTCAAGCTCCAAATAATACAAACTTAGGAATAGTCAATCATAAATAATAAAGTACTTGAACATAATAGTAATAAACCATATATGCAAATCAAGCAAATAACAAAAAAATACTTAAATCATAATCAGTCAGTGTTCGAAAGGAGTGAAGTGTCAGTCAGAAGTTCAGTACTATTCATATTTCAGTCTCTCTTTAAATGATTTAAGGCTATGTGGACGACTAGTAAAAATAACATTAGGCATTTCAAAATATTCTTTTTTAAAGGTTCTCATTAAGGACTGGGTTTGTGTACAATTAGATGGCTTGAGTTTCAGCATGTATGTGACTATCATTGTGTTTGTGTGTATTTGTGTCAAGGTGTGTATTTGTGTGTGTGTGTGTGTGTGTGTGTGTGTGTGTGTGTCCATGTGTGTGTGTGCATGATTTGTGGGATTTATTTATATCATTACATCACCTCACAATGGTGCCAGGTGAAGTCTGACCAATGGACTATACCATACCCTACTTTGTATGTTCGATGAAATCAAGACCATTTTTGAATAGGATGTGACTCATGTTTCTGTCATCAATTTGAAGAGTTCACTTTACCAATTGTTCAGGTACAGATGTACACCAGGTACAGACCTGAATCTAAACCTCTGTACTGGTACCAGGTCCTGTACATGATGTTATGTTTAAGTATGCAGCACTAAAGTGTACATGACTCATGTTGTTCAACGCAAAAATAGGTAGATATATAAAGGACTGCTTTGTTATTAGCAAAAATACAGAAACTTGTGATTAGCCCACTCGTTTGTAACACTTTACCAAAGACTTGTGCTATCCCTTATTGTTTGAGTAATTAAGATATGTTAGGTTTTATTTGACATTAGGTCTTATTCAACACATTTATTTTATTGTTTGTTACTTTCTTTTTGTAGTTTGCCATACATGTACCATGTGCAATTGTCGTGCAATAAAGTTCTTCTATGTTGTTGTCACAGGCTATATCAGCTATGAGCTACACAGGACACTCACAGTCACAGACGGCATCCACATCTGGACTGTAGCAGCTCCGGTGGTGGACTCCTGCCATTCCTGCCTTAGGCCACACCAATTTAATTTCTTGGTTAACAGATTTTTCTAGAAAAATAATGGAGTGGGCGGGCAAAAAAAATAAAAATAAAAACAGGCCTAGGCATCCTATTATGGCCCAAAATGGTATGATAGGAGCCATGCAGTCAACACACCAGGTTGGTTCAAAATTTAAACAATGAATTTTGAACTTCTAATGATACCACTGCATTGAAAGATGGATAACTAACAACTAGGAAGAAAAGGACTGTTTTCAACTGTTCAGTTCAAAGTATGAACATTTTGCAGTTGATTCTGTTTTTTTTTTTGCAAATCAGAAAAAATGAAGTGGGCAAATCCGTTGACCAAGAAATTAAACTGGTGTGGCCTTACATCTGTGTTGGAAGAGATGCCCATGAGCCTTCTTGTTGAAGTTGAAGCAAGAGATGGAACCAAATGGGACTTAAATTTACACCCAAGTTTAGTCATGTGCTTCTGCATTAGGCCACACTGATTTGATTTTATAGATGACATCCGTGCGTGCATTGATTTTCGCCTGTTCTCTAGAAAAAATCACCTCCTCCGAGGTTCCGGCCTTGGTGCCATAGTCCATGGTAACTAGCGACAGTAGGGAGCCAGCAGTAACTACGGAGGATGGTACCCAGGCTACCGAAGCTTCATGGAACTCAAGAACTCACTATAGTACTGACTCATAAATGGCGCAAAAGGCGCAATACCAACTTTGTATTCCTGTGGTTTAGCAACATTTTTTCTATGTGGAATTTTTTTTATTTGCCCGTGCACACTAGTTTGGGGGTCTTCAGAGGATATCATCCATAAAAATAAGTCAGTGTTGAGCAAAGAGACTCTTTTTACACAACCAAGTGTTTTATTCACAGCCGACGTTTCAGTGACCATCAGTCACCTTCCTCAGGGCAATTCTGACTGGTTCACATTGCACAGCAGCACAGGTGTCAAAAGAGTCTTTACTCAGTGACTTACCAACCTGATGAAACTATTTTTTATCATTTTTGGATGTATATCTTCGCTGTTCTTTTGTAGATGTTGAACTGAAATAAGGATTCGGTGAATATACATGTAAGGGTGAATTTTTATTGCATATTATACATTGTACATATGTATTAGACTGACTTGATGTTATCATATGTCGATAAGTTCCCCTCTCATATACGTGGTGACCATTAGATTTATACGTCTGTGATACATGTTTACATTAATTATCATTTTTTTTTTGTTTATTAAAGAAATATAACATACAGAAACATACAAAACCTTGTGGCAAGCCCCCCTTATTCGTACATACATGAAGTGTTCAGGTTACAAAGAATGTTCGTCTCGAGCATTATGTACATTTAGGAGAATAATGTATGACAAAAATAAAGTTTGTTGTTCAACGATACACTCTTGAAGATGGCGTATTTTGCATATGATAAACATTGATTCAAGCATCTATTCTTTTCCTGCTTGTCAACTTTAAACGTTATATCTATTTTCGCTAGGACAGTAGATTATGGGATGATGTCAAACCACCAGGAGCAAAAGTCATTCTAATAACCAGTGACATCAGAACAATCTACGAACAAGTGATTTAGGGTTTGTTGTTACAAAACGGGTATTTGTCTGAGTCGGTGACTAATTTTCTTTAGGTAACAATTTGTCAGCAAAAATCTATGTATAATTATTTTGTACTGAAAATACTGTAATTTAACATTCTTGTCATGTGACATAACTGCGAGGATGTTCAGTCAAAACTTTTCCGTCTAAAAACTCAGAGAATGTTCAGAGAATGCACTGTTTCGACTCATTATCCCCGCTACCTATGAGGGCAAACATTACCGTCCGAAAACTGTGTCAATACCAGGACACATTTCAAATAATGTACTAGTATACTCTCCAAGCAGAGGTATGGGTTTTGGGGGTATTTTTAGCGTGTTTCTATGCTTTTTTATCGGGGTTTCTCTTTTGCACTGAATTTTTTTTCCCACCAAACCCAACCTCTGCCGGCAGGTTGAGTTTGGTTTGGTGGGAAAAAAGTTCAGTGCAAAAGAGAAACCCCGATAAAAAAGCATAGAAACACGCTAAAAAATACCCCCAAAACCCATACCTCTGCTTGGAGAGTATACTAGTACTGTTTCGACTGTGTATCCACGCACTTGTTTAAGAAAACGTTTCCGTCCGAAAGCGGTGCCACACTTCAAAGAACTGTATATTCATACTCTAATGACGGAAACTGTACCGTACGAAATCTGTGTCAATCCACACATCAAAATATACAGTTTGGACTGTACATTCACGCATTTATAACGGAAAGTTTTTCCGTCCAAAAACTACCTGACACCTGTGTCACACAAGTTCGCACTCAGTGTATATCCACCCATTGGTAACCAAAAGATAATAATCTATCAGAAAACTGCGTCAATCCTATGACTCAATTTTTAGTGTTCACTGTATGAAGTGTATTTTCGCCCACTTATATACCCGAAAACCTTTTATCAAAACCTGCGTCATCCCTATGACTCATTTCTGAGTTTAACGGGGGGGGGGGGCTAATTCCGACCTATGTTCCATGCAAACGCACATACCTTTCGTAATAGTTTATCTGACCAAAAACTCGCGCAACATGAGTTATAATACTGATAGATAAAGATCACAACGATTAAAGCTACACAGATGTGTATTTCACTTCAGTGTAGCGCCTTGCACCCAAGCGTAATGATTCGCGAAACGCACGGCAGGTTTTTTGTCATTTTGCCGGTGGAACGTTCTATCGCAACAGGGGTGCCCTAATTCCGACCTAGTGTTTAACACAGGTCGATCTGAGAAGAGAGTTTAGAAATTATAACACACAAATTATTACTAAAACAATCTACAACTGTTTCCTGTCCCAAACAAGTCCTCTTTTTACGATTACGCGACTTGCTCCAAAGTGGCTGTTTGAAAAGCAAAACCTGCATTTTTTACACGCTCGTCAACCCCCGAACAAGCGACGAATTCACACAGATTTTTCACTCGTCTGTTGTCGGAGTGTACAAACTAAAACAAACTTTGTGAGCTTACCGATACCAACACAAAAGCATTGTCCATTCATGTGGTTATTTTCAGATACGTGCTCCCATGCATAACGCCGCAACAAGGATTTTTCAAACTAGTTCGGTATTAGGGATGGGTCGGAATTAGGGCACCCCCCGTGTTACACTGTATAAAGTCATCATTAAAGTGTATATCCTCACGCGTGACGTATGACACACTTAAACGTATGCACTGTTTCGTCACTATATCCATGCAGTTATGTAGGAAAACTCGCCGAAATCGGGGGACCGTCCCGTCCGGAGATGTCCGGCCCTGGTGACGTCATCACTAGCAACAGGTGAGAATGTTGGTCGGGCCCGCCACAGCTGCAGGTGGCGCCGGCGGCCCGACTTTATGCGCTTGGCCGCAAAATACAGTATCAAACTAGAAAGGCCAATATTTGCTTTGGAGCAAATATAGCGATGGGTTCACCACATTTTACCACATGGCAGGGAAAGAATGAGAAACACAAGGGAAAACAATGCTTTACATTGATATAACTATAGTATGAAGTAACATACAACTAAGACTACAACAGTTGGATAGCTATTCCCTACATTATTGGTTAGGATTGCATAATGCAAACTGTTGATTTTCAAGATAAAAAGAAGCGTTCATAGCCCGCATTCCAATGCTGGAGCAGGAAAGCTTAAAATACCTACCAAAACACTTGAATACAGACATACTGTCAGTATGGCATGGCTCTGTGCAGGTGTAAATGAAGTTAAGCCA